GTGTGACATTACAGAACCAACACTGCTTTCTCTCTTAGCGGTCTAGAACTGGACCTCATTTTTACGGTTTTAAATCTGAATTTAAATTAAATCAAAAGGAAACGTGTGAAATTAAAGCAGACATTTTATGGTTTTGATGTTATTTTACATTAGACGTATATATTTGTAATCTGGTCTATGTGTTGGTGTGAAAACATCTGTCAGATAATTGCAGATGTTTTTACTGTGGAGTCCGAATTACTAAAAGAACCTTAAAGAACCTATTTTCCCTCCAGTTCTCTGGAGCACCGATGACGCTGCATAAAGGAACCTTTACTTGATGTTATATTGAGGAACCTTTGATGGATCTTTGTTTCCACTAAAGCTCTCTGGATTATTGGTGCCTTGAAGAACCATTCTTGGATTGTTCTTTGAGGCACCTTTGGGGTTCTTTAAAGAACTCTGTAGAAACCTTAAAGAATCTGTTTCATTCAAATTGTTTGGAACATTTACGGTTCCTAAAGGAATACGTTTTGTGGTTCTTTGAGGTACTTTTGTTTTTTTAAGGAACCGTGTACAGAAACAGAACCTTAAGGAACCTACTTCTATTTAAGTTCTTTGGAGCACCATTTGTATAAAAGAACTGTTTTACTGGTGGTTCTTTGAGGCATCTTTTTGGGTTCCTTAAAGAACAGTTTGAAGAAATGAATTCTGGGAGCGGCTGTTTTTGGAGCTCCCCTTCTGGTGCCTAAAGGAACCTGTTTTGAGGAACCTTTGGGGGTTTTGTCAGGAACCTCTTGCTATAGATGTTCTACAAATGGTTCTCCTGCAGCATCACTACGAACAACAACAGCTTTAGACTTCAGGTAGCCCCTTTATGTTCCTGAGTGCGGTCGTGTCCTGGTTCTGGGTCTGTTACTCACCGACCACCACCGGTAGAACCTTCATGGCCTTGCGTTCCCGCCCGCTGACCCGGCTGCTCTTGCTGTTCCGTCGTCCTCTCTTTGCAGCGTTGCTCTTCAGGCCGTTCTCCCTCCTGCTGCCTCCCTCCCTCCTCTCTGTCGGCTCCCCGTCCGACACGCTGTCCATCTGGGTCGTCATCGGGTCGCTCTCCGGTGCCGGCGCCACCTCCTCCGTCACCGGGGTCGCCGAGGGCGTCGTCATGGAGACGGCGGAGGGCGAGGTGGGGCTGAGGCCGCTGGGCGCCGTGTACACCACCTTCTCTCGACTGCCGCTCGTCGTGGCCTTGGCCCGGTGCAGAGCCGAGCCCAGACGCAGAGACAGAGCCGGACGTCTGGCCCGACCCGCCTGGGACCGGCTGCGACCGCTCCAGCGCCGCAGGCCTCGGAACATCCAGTAGTACAGGAAGAGCATGACGGGACAAGGCACGAAGAAGGAGCAGACCGACGAGTACACCACGAACTGGTCGTTCTCCAGCTTGCACACGGTCGGGTCGCGACCCGGAACCTGGTTCAGGCCAAAGATGACGGGACTGGCCACGCCCAGAGACAGAACCCAGGTGGCCGTGATGAGAGCCAGCTGACGGACACTGAACTGGTTCCTGTTGTACTTCAGGGGAACCACCACAGCGATGTACCTGCAGGACCGGTGGACAGGTGAGACAGGAGGTTCTGGTTCTGGTAGCTGAGGGTTCACAGTAAACACAATAACTCTGGCTGGAGGTCATTAAGCTCCTCAGAGTCTCTGTCATGGTCCTGTTGCTGCTAAACTCCCACAATGCTCTCTGCTGCCTCCTCTGGTCTCTACAGGGTTAAACAGGGAGAGGCTCCACCTGGTGGAACAACCAGGTACTGCAGCTGGTCTATGGTACGGAACGGTATAGAAAAATGTACATTTAGTAGGGCCAAAACAACGTTCTCAAAAGTAGACTCAGAGATCACATGTAGATGAAGATGTAATTGTGATGGAAAATGCCACAGACTACACATATTAAGCTGATGGTCAATCATAACTTTACCTGAGACTCAGTCCAACATATATAAATATAGCTTTAAAAATCCATGTGGCCCTGATGTATGTAAATGAACCGTGTCTTAAATCAAAGTGAGGTTCCTCCTATCTGCAGGATTTCCACCGACATGAAGACTCAGATGAGCCGAGCAGGGCGACACCACACTGATCAATAATTTAATTAACAACAGTTAAAAGCGGATCAGAGCCGGAGCAGTTTTTAGCCTCTTTCAGCTCTTTGCTCTGACTTCGGGGCACATTTTCTGTCTGCTTCGGTCTTTGTGTTTCCAGATTTAAAGCATTAAAGCGCTGAGTGAACATCAGGCAGGATGTCTGGTGAAATCTCTCTGATTCATGTTCGGAGGTTGTTCTAAAGCGGCAGGAGTTTGGTTTTCAGTCTGTAAAGTTGTGTTGACAGATCCGGCTCTGCTCCATCTGTTGGCTTTAAATTTAGACTGTAGCACCTACCAGTAAAAATACATTTGGCACCTGTAGTCTCAGCCATGTTTGACTCACTGAGTTGTTTCATTACATTTTCTCAACACTTTGAAAGCTGTGGCTGACTTCATCACGGCTGTCAGCTGAATAAATCTGAATATAATCATCTTTTATCTCACTAACAAGGTGTTAACGCTCGCGCTGCAGCTGCATGAACACAGCTAATACATGAGGAAGACCATTTGTCTTTTCACCGCTTCACAGTGACCTTCAGAGTTCCTCTTCCTCATTAACATTCATTACAGTGTCTTTAATGGCGAGAAACAGCAGCGTCACATGACTACACCTGTCTGAAGAAGACATATTCAATCTGGTGTTGCGTTCAGGTCAAAGCTGAAGTCATATCATTTGGAAATGTTAATTAGCTTTGCTGCTAATCAGCTCCGTTATCTGCTGCAGGACGGAGTCGCAGTAACGACGTTCACGTCTGAGACTCGCTGCTCTGAACCAAACAGACTGAAACACACACAGGTGACCTCACCTGTCCACGCTGATCGCACACAGGTTCAAGATGGAGGCCGTGCACAGCATCACGTCCATCGTCATCAGAGCGTCGCAGATGGAGGTGCTCAAAGTCCAGACACCTCCGAGGAACTAAACACCGAGAGAAGATCACGTGACCAACATGGAGTTAGTGCGAAGGTCACATGACCGGCAGAGTTAGTACGAAGGTCACATGACCGGCAGAGTTAGTACGAAGGTCACATGACCGGCAGAGTTAGTACGAAGGTCACATGACCGGCAGAGTTACAAAGAAGGTCACATGACCGGCAGAGTTAGTAAGAAGGTCACATGACCTCACCTGTCTCCCTGCCACCTGTCTCACCTCGGAGTAGACGTAGAGCGGCAGCACCAGCACGGCCAGCAGCAGGTCGGCCACCGCCAGGCTGATGATGAAGTAGTTGGTGGCGGTCTTCAGGGAGCGCTCAGTGAGCACGCTCAGACACACCAGGACGTTCCCCAGGATGATGACGAGGATGAGGGGGACGCCGAGGACCAGGGCCAGGTAGTTGTAGTCCCTCAGGTCCGACTCACCTGGAGGGCTGCCAGGTGTCACATTGTCCATGATGAAGGCCCCGAACACAGCAGCTGGACACTCAGCATCTGGACACAGCACAGGTACGTGGACACGCTGCTACTTCATAGTATTCAGACTGAGTATTCAGAGTACTTGTACTCACCTTGCTGCTACGGGTCCCAGGTGTTGGCTCAGGTGCGTTTCAGGCTCAGCAGGTGGACGGACTCTGTTTGGGTTCTTCACTTGGTTCTCTTCGTTCATCTTCACGTCTTTTGGTTGTTTTTTTTTTTTCTGACTGTTGACAACAAACAGAAAACTGGTTTATTTTTGACTCCCTCTGCTGGTTCTGTGGGTTCTACTGGTTCTGTGCTGTGCTGTTCTGCTGGTTCTATGTTGTGCTGGTTGTCCTTGTTGTGCTCCATGCTGGTTCTGCTGATGTTGATGGTTCCACTGGTCCTACTGGTTTTATTGATTCTAATCTGCACTGGTTCTGCTGGTTCTTTACTGGTTACATTCTGTGCTGGTTCTGCTGGTTCTCATGTTTGCTGGTTGTCCTTGTTGTGCTCCATGCTGGTTCTGCTGGTTCTAATGGCCTGGCAGTTTTTTGTGGCTCTGTTGGTTCTGGTAGTGCTCACAGTTCTGCTCTCCACTGGTCTCAGTGGTTCTCCTGGTTCTGCTCTGTGCTGGTTCTCTTGGTTCTGCTCTGTGCTGGTTCTCCTGGTTCTGCTCTGTGCTGGTTCTCCTGGTTCTGCTCTGTGCTGGTTCTACTGGTTTAAGTCGGTGCTGGTTCTACTGGTTTAAGTCAGTGCTGGTTCTACTGGTTTAAGTCAGTGCTGGTTCCACTGACTCTGCTCTGTGCAGGTTCCACTTGTTTGACTTGTTTCACTGCTTATGATGGTTCTGTTTTGTGTTGGTTCTGCCAGTTCCACACTGTGATGGTTCCTCTTTGTGTGAGTTGTACTGGTTTTGTTCTGTGCTGGTTCCCCTGGGCCCACCCTGTACTTGCTCTACTGGTTCTGCTCTGTGCTGGTTTTGCTGGTCTTGTTCTGTGCTGGTTCTCAGGGTTCTGCTCTGTGCTGGAGGCTCTGCTTTCTGCTGGTTCTGCTGGTTCTGGTCACCAGGGTGATTTTACCCGGTAGAACCTGTGTGTGTGTTTAGATGATGATGTTGTTCATGATGATGATGATGCTCTCCTCCTGGGATGCTTCACCGTTACCACGACAACCAGAGAGGAGGACCACACAAACATAATCACAACAACACACACAATCTAAACACACACATACACAAAAACCTGCTTACAACCCAAACAGCCATAAACAGATCAACAGATCAATATTTATTCTGTTCTCTGATCAGTTCTCGTCTTCATAACAAACTAAACCGTCTTCAGGCTCGTTAAACTGGACCCATGAGCTCCAGCTGTTGGTTCGTTGACGTCTTCAGATCGTTAGTCGTCACCTGCTGCCGTCTGGGTCATCAATAATAAATATGGATAGGATCAATAGCAGCACTGACGCCTCCGATGGCGATAAAACAGCCACTAATGAGACGTCTCATGTCTCAGCTTCCTGCCATCGTCTCTCCACCAGCAGCAGCCCGATGGCTCCTCAGAGCAGAGAGCATGCTGGGAAACTCACCGCCACAACAAAAGCCAGCGTTCACAGGAAGCCGACATCAGGCCGCGTTCATCACAGCAACGTCCCGCCTCCTCCGCCGATCAATCACAGGCCGTATCAATACCAGGATCAGAAGCACTGTTTGCTCCTCATCAACAGTTGGTCTGCAGCCGTCAGATAAACGTGTTATCAGCTGCTGACAGCCACACAGACGGACACAATACCGATCAATACCGATCAATACCGATCAATACCTGCTGACAGGTGAACAGTCAGTGGTGACCTGATGGAGAGGAAGATGAAGACAAAGTGTGTACCTGTATGTATACACCTGTGTGTGTTTTTATATGTTGAACAGCTCTTCTTATGTTTTTCCACCAACGTGATGAAAACATCAGCAGAGTTCAGCTCTGAAGGACGAACGGTGTCTGAAGTTTTCTGTCTCGGTTGGTTTCTCTGAAAACATGACGAGTTCAAAATGCAGTATTTTTATTAAAGTACTTGAACTGGTCCGAACGATGCTGCAGAATCTCCAACTGAGTTCTGCTTCGTCA